ATTTCTTTAACGGGTGAATCAATGTCATCAAAACTTTGCACAGCGGTTTGCATCAAATTATCTTTACTTAATTTTTTTTTCACCACTATTGCCCTAGATAAGAAACATTTTCTTCATACATATTATTTGAAATAATGTAAATCTCCTTTACGCGGAAAATGGGATTGTTCACAGCACTTCCCGCTTCTGACACACATGTCGTATACGCATATATATGGCTACGTCACAGCTCTCAAATTTTAGTGGCATGCGTGTTACAAAAAATAATAATTTTATAGAAAGCACTTTTTCTGCACTAAAGGTTCTCAAAACATGCGTTCAATACGCATAATCTCTCGATAAGAAAAAAAATCACGGACTCTTCTTTTAAAAGCAATATTGCCACATCTGTAAACCTTTTAAAATCTGTAAAAAAAACCACCGACGGGGATTTTAAAAATCAGTATAGGCCTATTAAATTTATTAAGAAATTTTTTAGAATACAGCTAACAGGTCGCTACCTCAAAGTTCTATTTGACACTTTTGACCGTTTTGAGTTACTAAGACCATGAGGTCAGAAAGCAAATCCATTATCTGCTCTATCAAAATCGCTGGAATATTCCGAGTCGTTATCAAGATATTCAAAGAACTGCATTCGAATAAGCTTGACATAATTATTGTGAAACTAAAATTTTCACGTCAAATTTCTCAAAACTAGATTATTGGGCAGATAGAACTTGATACTTCTGAGGTAACGAGGTTTACAAAAAATATTGATATGTTAAGGCAAATTGATTTTTTAAAAATCATTGTGCTAAAGCTGGAGACTTTATATTCGATGGTTGAGGAGATATTTGACACTTAGTGGCCCCACGAAATTCTGACCACATTACAGTTATTTTACATCCCATCAACACTACCCCTGCCAGTCAGCGCCTATCCAAGATGAGAGGTAAACAATGTCACAGCAGAGAGAAATCTGAAACACCGAGATCCTTGATAGAAAATTTTCCCCACATGGACATGAAACTCATGTTTGTATGTTTGTTTGTTTGTTTGTTTGTTTGTTTGTTTGTTTGTTCGTTTGTTTGTTTGTTTGTTTTGGGGGGTTGGGTGTGCGAAGCACTTAACCGCAACACCTAAGAGGCCGGTGTGCCGTCATGTTATCAATCAAAAGTTTAAAAAGGTAATGGAAACGATGTTCTTTGTCGTCAGTACACTACAGTTGTTGGCACTCGCAATGACAATGGAGAAACGGAGGTTCTCGTTACATAGAGATTAAAGTGTTCGCCTCTCATTCAAAGGTCTCGGGTTCGAATCCGGGTAGAAACAGAAAAATTTTCTTCTCTAAAATTTTCTCCTTTTATCTTCTTTCCTTCTCTCTTGCAATATCATGTCGTCTACTTATGACCTTATGCAGTTTACAAAAAAGAATTTAAAAATGGAGATACTGAAAACAACGAGATCGGGTTGTTGAGAGGGAAAGAATTGAAATAGGAGAATATAATTTGAGCAATGGAAAAAAAAACCCATTAATTTGAAAAAAAACCCACATCACTTCCGAAAGACTGCAAGCCTACTGCCAAACCAAGACCGCATAAACCATTTTAACATACTTTTAATCACAATACACGTAATTCTAAGAATACCGTTTGGCATTTTATTGCTCACTGTCGCAGTCGTAAAAGAGGATGGAGAGATGATCATTTCTAGATCATTCTTTCTGTCAACATGACGATGCCTTTCAATATTTCGGAAAGGTTGGTACTACCGTGTTATGACAAAACCCCACAAAATCATGAAACAATCAGTTTGATAAAGAAGAATAATAATGTGAATTTATTTTAAGTCTAGGCCTAATCCTTAGAAATCTTTAAGCGCTTTATGACTCTGAACCACACACATTCTAACATAAGTAATAAACGATCTATTTGGGAAAAGTTGGTACCGTGTTATGGCAAAACCCTACCAAATCGTGAAACAATCATCTTGAGAATAAAATAATAATAATGATAATAATGATAT